TCCTAGACGTATTCATATTAGTTTTGAAGTTTTATGTTTTTAGACGTATTAATGTCTATCATATAACCTCTAAAAACATAGACAGTTACCAGGCGTGGCAAATAGTGTGACGTAGAGTGCGGGCAACCAACCCGTAGTCGACTACAAAAATACAATGGATGTAGCAGTCCTGTTAGATTCTACTGTCCTTGCTACAAACTTTGCCAATAATTGGAAACAATGCTTTCCCTCATGGTATGGTTATCACCATAACAACATTAAGTTTTAAATACATACAATAGTTTTAGAAAGAACAAAAAAAATTGATACATTATATTCCATCATAGTATGTATGGTTATCACCATAGCAACATTAACTTTTAAATACATACATTAGATTTAGATGGAACAAAATGAATTTTTGTTAATTATTCAATAACTATAAGAAATATACCCCACAAACTATATATATTTGTTATCAGAAGAAAATAACAAATTATTTTAAGTCATAGCCAACTATGGTTTCCATTTAAAAAAATAAAGTTACGTCTAAAATCTCGAAAATAAAAGATGGGAAAAAAATTCTACCTACGCCACTGAATTCTTCGTAAAAAGTTGCCCATATAATGTTTTATTTATAATACTCCATCTTTGATAATAAGTGAGATATTCGCGATTGTCGTTTTCGCAAAATTTTCAGTTTTTGCCGATAGGGCGAAAACAAAAGACGATAGCTGTTCGGAGTTTTCGGCATTAGCATTTTCTCGAAAAACGAGATCATGACATGTAAGCTACTTTTTTTCTATCTCTTTTAGTTTCGGAGATAGCCTATGCGGACATCGAAATTGGGACACCCTGTACACAAATTGAAAAAACTTTTTAAAAAATATAACATAAATTTAACATTTAAAATTATACGCACTATTCAAAATACTCTTGTTAATAACAAAGATAAATTAGATATCTTACAAGAAAGTGGCGTATACCAAATAGAATGTAATAGTTGTCAAGCCACATATATCGGAGAGACTAATAAATAATTTCAAAACGTAATTTCAAAACTAGAATCAAAGAACATCTAACAAAAGAAAATTCGGCATTCGGAAGACACATAAATTTTAACACTTTGCCGTCCGCACGTTTCGCAAAAATTTATTCGCTTGGCGCCGGCAGAAAATTCAGATTACTTATCCGTGCAAAAAGTCAAGGCCCCTCACTTTAGAGATCGATATCTTCGCAACCGATCGATGAAAAAAATTGCGACAAAGTTTGTTGTAATCATTGAACATTTCTACGTAACATATGTTAATTTGAAAGTTTCAGATCCGCGGTTTTCTTTTTATCGCGAATTAAATGAAAAAAGTCCTGAAGATGGTAATTTAATTACCGAAACCGGTCAAGACAAAAATAAAATAAAAAAGATATCACTGTATCACTGTGTATAGTCTTCCACACGGCGATCGGTTTTTATAACTCTGTCACTTTCCTACTGTAGTTGTAAAACTAACAAAGACGAGGTTGTAACAAGTAGTTCCCCATTGTAAAATATTGGGATTCCTCACTCAGGGCGGCATTAAGGACCACACTTTACTGGCAAATTGTAGAAAAATAATAGGGTCATACATAAATACTCATTATTCTCTTATTTGTGGTGTTTCTAATATTAAGTACATATTTTTGCTAAGAAATGTTTTGAGGAGGCATGCATTGTCTACTTACAAAAGAGGGCGGAGAATAATTAGATTCTTTAAAATTTTGTTATTCTATTATTTAGACATTCCTAAAAATAATATTTTTTTCTAAGACTTTTATACTAGTCTTTATAATTAAATTGTAGTTGTTATAACTAAACTTTGGTTTTTTATTAAATTTTAGTTTAAAAAAATTTAAGTTCGACCCTGTCCTTGTATGACTGTCATAAGTCTTTTCAGGTATTCGAGCGGGCAAAAATCACCCTGGCTTTTATTTATGACTGTCATAAAAACCGATCTGGATGTGGAAGAGTATACAGGTGTCCCGTTAAGCGTGCGGAGCGGCTGTATCTCTAGAACGGTAAGGCCTAGAGGTTTGGGAAAAAAATCCTTATAAGCAAAGTGACCAAGAGAAATAGCTGGAAATTATTTTGAAGTTCGTAATTCGACCGCTAGGGGGCGTAACTGCCATTGAGAAACATAAAGTTTCCGCTATCTCAGAAACTTAGACGATGAGCTATAACTTTGACAACATCATTTAATAGCTTGGATCATACCGCATCGCTTTTGTGTTGCGATATTTCTCATATCTGTCATAATAAGGGAGGGGGAGGCCAACGCGTTTTCATATGTTTACATTTTAATATCTCCTAGACCATTCAACCGATTTGAATGTTTTCGGTGTTGTTTGAAAGAGCATTTTATGCTCTTTTTAAAGATATTTTCAGCAAGGCCGTCTGCTTTAAAACAAATGAGCTAGAGGACGTTATCTGCAGCGATTAATGTGCAAAAATGTGCAATGCAATTACGACAAAGAAAGACATTTTTCTCTAGAAGTGTTTTTAAGATTGACTTAGCGATTACGGAAAACTGGCAACGTGTAGTCCATTCAGACATCTCTATGAATTCGTAAATCGTATTGGTGCGCAATGTGATGCCACATAATCTGGGAACTCCGAAAACAATTGTCCACAAGAGTTCTCAAGAGAATAATATCTTCACCATGTTGTTTTACATCAGGCCTTAACAGATACCGATTATGATAACAGAGTGAACTATTACCGTTGACTTTTAAATATGGTTTGGGCAAATCCAAACCTTTTATCACAAATGCTATGGATGCATGAAGCATCTGTCCACAAGCTGATGTAAACTTGCATAATATGCATTCTTGGTTCGAGCAAAACCCACATTGCTTTCACCCCTTTATCTATTGGGTAGACTAAACGACCTGGCTTTTCAAGAAAAACCAATAACCAGGGAAAATATGACAAACCCTTAATTCTCGTTAGAACGTTTTCCGGGGCGGGGCTTTAGGCGGGGTTTTTTTTTCGTCGAAACTAGATTAAATAAATGCATCGAGGTTTATGGAAGGCATTTCGCTCATTAGTGAGTTATTTTTGCCAAAAATTTAAGTTATTCTAAGTGTTTTGGTTTATTTTGTTTTATTATCATTGTTGATGTTTCATTGATCCGTTGGCTTTTCAACACGCCTCAAATGTAGTTTTGAAGCAGTTCTAAGCTTTGAAAAAGTGTGAAGGAAGGTTCTAGATAATAAAATTTTTGTTCTCTCTTATTTGTTTCTTAAGGTAACTTGATCCGATTAAGATATACGAATTTTTAACATTTTCTTTTATAATTCGAGATTGGATGGAGGTATCGAGATGCGGTCTTCACTAATATTTAGCAAATTTTATGGTGATTAACGGTCTGTGAAGTAAATAGTATCGTTCCATTTAACTTTTTTTCAAAAATCACAAAAATATGTAACCGCTGCAGATAACGCCCTCTAGCTTATTTGTTTTAAACCAAGCGGTCTTACTGAAAATATCTTTTAAAAGAGCATGAAATGCTCTTTCAAATAAGACCAAAAATATTCCAATCGGTTGAATGGTCCAGGAGATATTAAAATGTAAACATTTGAAAACGCATTGGCCTCCCCCTCCCTTATTATGACAGATATGAGAAATATCGCAAAACAAAAGCGATGCGGTATTATCCAAGCTACTAAATGATGTTGTCAAAGTTATAGCTCATCGTCTAACTTTCTGAGATAGCGGGAATTTTATGTTTCTCTATGGCAGTTACGCCCCCTATCGGTCGAATTACGAACTTCAAAATAATTTCCAGCTATTTCTCTTGCCCACTTTGCTAATAAGGATTTTTTTCCCAAACCTCTAGGCCTTACCGTTGTTGAGATACAGCCGCACCGTACGCTTAACGGGACAACCTGTATATGATCATTTTATTCTAAATAATTAAATAAGTGATAATGAATGAAAACATAATTAAATAAAAAAAATGATTTAAATGCCTACTGTTTGTTATTTTCCCCGGAAAACAAATGAAAACTATGGAACGATTTACGCACCACTCATATATTGCAAATTAGGTACTTGGTCTTTCTCATATCACCCATGCATACTATTCCGATTTCAACTTCTCTTGTTTATTTTTATTTCTTATTAATAAAATAAAGTTCGCTTGACGTATGTCATCTGCCAAAGAGTTAATCTTTCAGAAGTAGACAAGTATCCGTGCGCTTGTTCTCCCTAATTTTTTATCTATGCTTCTATCACGTGTGGTCGTAAATTTGTTTTATTTGCTTTCTCTTCTTTTGCAAGTTATAATTGAGTATAATTGAATTACTCTCCCCTCATTTATTCTATTCACCACTCCTATCGTACGCCTTGTTTTTCAGATAGATTATCGATTTACAATAATTTGTAGAAAAAACAAAATTAAAATTTTCAAAAGCCTCGTGAGTCCATTACCCTTTCATTTTTCGATTTATAACCAATTTGTCCTTTAATGATATAGTCCATAAATAGAGTGAAACTAAATAAAGTATAAGCTATTTTCTCGCCATAAAGACTACATTTAAATTAGTTAAAAAGTAATAAAAGCCGAGAAAGTCCATTACCTTAATTCCTAGAATTTCATTGCGATTTACGTTGAAAGAAAATATTTATCGCATTAAGAGAAAAAATTGAATGAAATGAGGTCCACCCAACTTAATAACTGCTTGATTAATTAAACAACAATTTTTTTGGTCTAATATATCTTGTAAGCATATAACTTTTAAACCAAAATTGTTATTTTCCTAAGGTTTTAATTTAAAATGTTTTTATTTCGATAACGAAGCTCTGATCTCTTCGTTTCGTGTCTGGATTTGATGGGGTTTTAGCGTCGACAAACATATGTGTATGAATACGTGTACGAGCATAATATAATGTGAAAATCCGTGTATTCAGGAAGCGGGTACCGGTTAAAACTATTCGATTTTCTCGGATTTGTGATCAATTCTCAATTTCATATTTTTGTATATAGAAATGTGGCGATAAGCGTGTATCGGATAAGAGAGTGTTTCACACCTTTGCGAGAACGTTACCTTCATCCAGGAAGGTTTCAAAGAGCGTCGTAGCACTTCTCAAAGCTTTCAGCTGGGATAAATTTGTCGTCGTTTCCGGATCTACTCCAGCGTCTGGTAGTGAAGTACAAGAATCTATAGAGGTAATTATTAGATTAATGAGATTTATAAAAAAATTAATTCAACATTTCAGGAATTGTCAAGAAAACATGGTTTAACTATAACTGATATAAAAAAATATTCCGATTATATTCCCAGTCATATTCGATTTATGGAAGAAATTGTGGATGAAACGTACCAAAAAACGAGAGGTAAGAGTTTTTTTATATTTATTATTACATTTTTATTGATTATTTATAATCAGCCACCTTAATTTAAAAAAAAATGAAATAAATCACAAAATCCAATTTGAAACTACTTCATGATATCACGTAACAAGCTAAGTTATAATTGTATTTATGGTGACTCGAATATTATTCAAAAGCACCGCGTTCGCAGACTGATTTCAAACATGCACCTTCGAATAACATTTGTATATTGCAACAATGATAATATATATATTTGCCAACTATATAAAATATATGTTTCATTGCAAACTCAGTACATGACCTATTAAATTAAACAACAAATTCAAATGAATTCAAACCTATTAAACTTTATTAATTAAATGATAAGTGCGTTAAATAGGAATTTCATATGGGAAATCGACCTATTTAATAGCGAATACCGGATTTTGTCTGTACAACTGGATGACTTCCAATACAATCGCCTTTACCCGCGTGTTTTACAAAATTTTTTGTCTATTTATGAAATACACGCCACGTCGATGATTTTTTGTCATTCTATCTTTTCTAATCTCTTCAGCTCCTCTTGGCTCTTAGGGTACTCCTGCGCACATACGGTATTTGAACGATCTACGCGGCCAAAATTATTTTATGTTCGATATTGATTCTAAACGATATTAGTAAATGAAACAAATGTTTTAATATTAAATCGACACGTATTTATTCAAAACAAAAAGAAAACATCAAAAAATCTATAATTTTTCAGACAAATGTTCATCTTCGCTTTCTGCAGAATGACCAAGTTCATTCGGATTCGTAGACATAAGTAGAGCAATTGTTTCTGGCAAGAAAGAATTAAGTTTTCTACTTTTTATCCTACTCATGCTACTTAACAGAGGGTCCGAAGTCAAAAGTAGCCGGTTAAAAATGTCTCTGTTGCAGTTGTCTCTAGAAAATTTTCGAGCGAAGTCTTGGCGGTATGACCTGAAATGCTTATTACGCGCTTCCGCGGCCTCTTCGGAGAGCTGCCTAATGGGTAACAATGCATTTTTTATTATAACTGCACCATGGATAAGTATTTTGTGAATTGTTGGTGTCATAGGATGCCAAGGATATAGATCGACATATAAGCGAGCAGTATCTAGTGTATCTTTATCGTATTTTACAGGATCGATTATAATATAATTGAAATCGTTTCTAGTATGACTTTTAATCTGTATATTAGTTCATGACTAATACCCGTTATATCAAAAGCTAACTGAGGATCTTCAAAAAATCTTCTGCTTGTATTGCCGTCATTAGTGTTGACGAAATTTGCCTTTGGCATATCTACCATCAAACCAGTTTCTTTTCGAAATATAGCTTGAATTTCCAGTTTCTTATCATCTTCGATTTTTTTTTCGGTTTCTGTTTTCCTCTCTTTGTATTTTTTTACAGGCAATTTATACGCCAAGTGGAGAATGTTTTCGAAAAAAAGAATTCTTGCATGTAGAACCGAAAGCCCAATAGCTTCAGGATTTATCTCTTTTTTAACATCTAATCGGTTGAAATCCTTAGAAGTTGCACTGCATATGTAGCACCGGCTTGTGGATTTCGTGCCTGTTGCAGCATTACAGACCTTACCATCTACCATTGTCATGATGAATGATTGTTTCATTAAAAATTTTTTCCCATTTAAATAAACCTCTGTTGCCGTTAGTGAATCAGTAGAGTTTTTGACATAATTAATTTCTTCTTCCGTTATGTCGGTACTCTCTTTTACGAAACGAAACCTGATTGGCCGGCAATATCGTGGTGACGAGGGTGTTGGGTTTTCTCACACAATCTTTTTTTCATCTTGACCACAAACCAATCGTAGAGGGACGAAATAGCTCTGAAATATATTAGCATCTGAGTCAGCATCATTTTCAAATTTTGGTTTGTACTTAGATTGCTGAGATCCGTCACATCCCCATTTACATATTATCTTTAGGCTATCTCGTTCTTTCTCATTTAATGTCATCACGACTTCTTCTAGGAAGATTGACAGGCGCCTTACGGTTAGATCAACCAAAGATTGTAAGATTGGAAGAACTTTTTGTTGGTATTTCTAATTATTTCGTACTGTCGACGACTTAAATCAGCTTCTACAAACATTGCCAATGCTTGCAATGGTGTAAGAGGGCCAGTTTGTTCTTTTCTTGTTTCAGAAAATGCCCTCTTATATTTTGTTGCACGTTTCGGACTAGTATTGGTGATTTCTTTTAATATATCGGAAGCATTTCGTTTTCCACTTTTCCGCAACTGAATCTGAGCAGCTTGAACGATCACGTCTTCTTCTACATTAGACCGAATCTCCTCAGTTTTCCTCCTTTTTGTTCTTTCACTTGAATCTCCAAATAACTTACGTGGGCGGCCTGGCCGATTTTGTGCAACAGCGGGAATCTCAATAGTTCCTTCAAGCCATGAATCATTGTATTTGCAAAACACGTCTTCCTTCTTATGAGCCTTTGACCACCTTTGCCTTAATTGGCTTTTAAAGAGAAAAGGTGGATTTAAAGGTCTTAATTTCTTCTTCTGAGTACGCTCCGCATGACAGAAGTTCCTCATTCAAAAAAGTCAGTTTTTCTTCCAAATTAGGCAAATTAAAGCTCTGCATGCGGTCGAACAAGTATTTACGGGTCACAGTTCTAGTTCCCGAGGTTCTATGTGAACCTAAAACAAAAAAGACACCTTAAAAATTCACTTAACATAAATAAAGACTTTTATATGTTTTCTTCAAAACAATAATTAGGTACTTTTCCGCGGCAAAATTTTGGATTAGTCATTACTCAAAGCTTTAAACTTTCGATTATATCAAGAATTATGACAGGATCTAACTTGGTAGTATAACATATTCCTTTTTAAACACAAATTATAGCTAAAAAATATTCCATATTACGCGTGAATTTCAATATACTAAAACGAAACTTTCCAATTACAAAAATTATACAAATTATATTTAAATTAGTAGATACTTACCTGCTTTATCAGGATCCATAACTTTTTTCTTCCAAAATAAACGCAAAATAACAAATATTCACTATTAACTCCGTGTTGCGAACGAACGCCCCGAGAACAAACACATACACCATGTGACACTATTAAATTCCGAAAGCCCGTGGAAGCGCGGCATGCAGGGTGGGAAGGCGGGAGGGGTTGGGTATTGTGATTTAACCTGTCAAGCACCCCAGACTTTTGACTGGGATGGTTGACTTTGACTTTTGACAATATTTGACTTTTAGCCGCTTAGATCGTTCAAATACCCGTATGTGCAGCGTGATCAGCATTATCTAGAATAGTTTGCATCTGTTTTAGAACATTATTCGAAATTATTTGGAAAACGTATCATAAAGTAACTCGCGGTCTCTTCATTTCTGTATTCACACAATAGCATCTGTACTTGGTGCATTTTAACCTATTAATTTGCACGCTAATCCCCTACGATTTTAGTAACAAAAATTACATACGTACATTTTTTAGTACTTATTATTATAAAAAATTCAAACTTAAATTCACAAAAGTTTGCTGTTAATAGAAGAAGAGGAATTGCTTGTAGAAGATTATTTACTGCTGTCAGAAGGATATATATTGCAGACAAAAGACTAAGTACTGTTGGTAATAGAGGACTAAATACTACTAATGGTAGATTAGATACTGATTGCAAAAGACTACTTTCTGCTGTCAAAAGACAAGATGTTGCTGGTAACAGGTTGGGTACTATCAGAAGAGGACTAAATACTGCTGGTTGAACGTTTTCCAATGGTGCACAGATGGTACCACTGAAAAACTAGATCTTCCTACTAGAATACTGAATGTGTCTGGTAGAAGACCATATACGGCTGGTAGAAGACTAGATACCGTGAATGGAAAACTATATGCAGCTTGCAGAAGGTTAAATACTGCATGAAGAAAACTATATGTATACTATATACAGGGTCATGTACAAGACAATAAATTAGGATGATATCACGTAACTTACCTCCATACTAAGTTGTACCCCTGATGAGTTATAAGCCTTCAAAGTTGGGTGTTAAATGTTTAAAACATTCAATATCTTCGTAATACATTAAGCTAGAAAAACCAAATTTGGTATACGTTATGAAAGTACCAAGGGTATTAATTGGTACCAAATTGAGATCAATTGAGGCATTTCAAAGGATTGATTAAGGGTGATGGTACCCTACACTTTGACAGATTTTTTTAACCTTTTGGCGGATTTAATATAATATTACTTCATTTCATGTTTAATTTAATTCTAAAACTTGTTTACTCTTATTATGTTTAAAATAACTTTGTCGTTTTTATAGAAAACTCAAATAGCTAAAGACACGTAATTTGTTAATGTTATTTAAAATCAAAATTTTCATTTATCGAACAAGTGGACAAGAACTTGTTTTGAACATAGTTGAAGATAAACCAGGTACAAGTGCAAGAATTTTACGTCAACAAACTGGAATATCGCAAAAATTCTGTACAACCTTCTAATCTATTATTGTCTCAGATAGACATAACCTACTCCACCTGTATCATGTTCAAGAAGTCCAGGAATTGTTGCATTATCAAAAGCAAATTGTCTTTACTGACAAGGCTTCTTTTACCCGCAGAGACATTACAAATTTAAATAATTACCATCAATACTCTGATTTAAACCCACATTTATTAATTCCAACGACATTTCCAACGCGAGTTTAAGATAAATGTTTGGCTTGGTATTATTGACCGGTACCTAATTCGTCAAACAAAATACAAAAAATACCGGTATTTCGGTATTATTTTTATTTAGCGCCCTCGATGGCCGGGGCGGCCAATCTCTTCGAAAACGGCCGTGCTAGTTTGAAGTTGTGCTGGAAAATGACGTAGAGGATTATTGTTTGTTTTCTATCTTCTGTCCGTGCTAAGTTTACATTTTCAAGTGACATTTTTTGACGCTTCATTAAAAAAATGCTAGTCGGAGGCGACCGATTGAAAATGGCCGTGTTTAAAACTGGGCTGAAGAATGTTGTTGACCAAACAGAAATTTGTTATCAATCTTATGTCCGTACGAACCTCATTTTTTCAAGTGACATTTTTTGATCAGTGTGAATACCATCTGCAAGAAATATCATTTTGCACTCTGACAGAATGTTGAAGATAATGAAGACTCAACCTTTGATGACGACAACTTAATAATAAGTTCGTGTTCAATAAATTTGTCATACCTAGCCAACAATAAAATACTCTCTGCATACAACTATTTTTGGAGTT